TGGACCTCTGTAAATACCTAATAAATTCGTGTGGTTAAAATGAAAGAGAAAGAGTGGATGATAGGTACGAAGGATGACCGTTCTATGTGATCACTCTTCTAATGCTGAAATCCTAGCTGATTTTGAATGAGGCCACAGATAGATCCATTGTATTTTTAAAATGTTTTCAGTTTGCTTCCTGCATGAACAGGGTCATGGAAGTTTTATGATTTACTGCCTAATGTGCAAAATGGACTGGTCTTTAGATTTAGTTCTGAGTTAGAGGTCAGTTTGTGAAAGGATTAAAAAATTTTAGAAGTATGGACATTTGTGTTTGGGTTGTGTGTGTGTGTGTGTGCCCATTTATGCTGTGTGTTTTATCCACATAACTTGTTTTACTTTGAATTAAAAAAGGACATGTGGGGAAACACTTTCATAGTTGGTGTTTTAATTAAAGGTGGATGGTTCAATATTTTCCCCCAAATTATCAGTTTATTATAACAGAATCCTTTTCTCTATTGGAACCCAATATTACAGACAATAAATTCTAAGTAATTAAAAACATGTTTCATTCTCAAATTCACTTCACAGTATAAAAACTTTAGCTACTCTCAAGGGAATCATACTCTTGAGAATGAAATCAGTATTTAAGTAAAGTAAAATAAAATATTAATAGGTCTGTATGAACTCTTTTGAGGCCTGTGTAAAAATATGGAGTAAAAAGTTAATAAAACTGATTTATTATTTGGCTCATTAATACTAGACTCTATGACCAATCCTGAATTCCAAACAAAATTCCTTATTATAGAGCAGCTCACCTTTCTCTCTGGACTGTGGAAAGTAGAATGTCCAAAGAAATTCATTCTCTTTAAACATATTCTTTCAATCCTTCCCGAATTAGAGTCAAATTTGGTATATTAATATTACAGTAATTTTCTAAGAAGGCATTATATGCATTAAGGAAACTTCACTTTATAAAGGAAATGTTTTTGCAAAATTATAAAATAATCATATTTTAACATTTCTTGTTTACCTTTGTTTTTTACAACCACCTAGTGGCAAATCATCATGTACCAAAATGAGGTAATATTTTTATATATATTGTGTTTTTCAAGTTAGGAACCTTGATTCTTTTGAAAAAAGTTAACTTAGATAATTATTGATTCATATGCAGTTGTAAGAAATAACACAGAGAGAGCCCTGTACCCTCTACCTAGCTTCTCCCAGTGGTAACATCTTACAAAAGCATGGTGCAATATCATTACCAGCTTATTGACATCGATAGAGTCAAGATACAGAACTTTTCCGTCTCCAAAAGATTCTCCTGTTGCCATTCTATAGACACACTCTCATCTCCTCCTCCTCAACCCCAAGGCAACCACTAATCTGTTCTCTTTTTCCATAATTTACTGTGTGTCTTCTCTCTTTTTTTCCCCTTTGTTCACTATCTAGAAGTTTGTCAATTTTATTGTCTTTTCAAAGACCTAACTCTCTGTTTCATTGATATTCTCTACTGTTTTCTTTTAATTTTATTGATTTCCATTTTTATCTTTATTATGTCCTTCTTTTTATTTGCTTTGGTTTTAGTTTGCTCTTCTTTTTCCAGGTTCTTGAGGTGAGACATTATGTTATTGATATGAGACTTTTCTTCTCTTCCAATATAGGTATTTAGTGTTGTATGTTCCTCTTAGCATTGCGTTAGCTGTGCCTTTGATATTTTGTGTTTTCATTTTCATTCAGTTAGTATATTGTTTTGATTTCCCCTGGGACTTCCTTTTTGACCCATGGATTATTTAGAAGTATGTTGTTTAGTTTCCAAGTGTTTGGAGATTTTCCTGTTATCTTTCTGTTTTTGATTTCTGGTTTGAAGGCATTGTGTCTGAGAACCTAGTCTGTATGATTTCAGTTCTAAACTTGTTGAGATCTGTTTTATGGCCCGAGACATGGTCTGCCTTGGTATATATTCTGTGAGCACTCGGAAAGAATGAGTACTCTGCCTTGTTGAGTGAAGTGTTCTGTAAATGCCTATTAGATCCTCTTAGTTGACTGTGTTGTTGAGTTCTTCTATATCTTTGCTGCTTTTCTGTCTCATCGTTCTCTCAATTGAGCAAGGAATATTGAAGTTTCCAACTATAATTGTGGACTTGTCTATTTCCTCTTTCAATTCTCTCAATGTTTACTTCATATATTTTTCTGTTTTTTTTAAAAATTTATTTATTTATTTTAGAGAGAGAGTGAGAGTGTGTGGGCCAGAGGGAGAAGGAGAGAGAGAATCTCAAGCAGACTCCCCACTGAGTGCAGAGCCCCATGTGGGGCTCCATCTCATGACCCTGAGATAATGACCTGAGCCGAAACCAAGAGTCATTTGCTTCACTGACTGAGCCACACAGACGCCCATATTTTTGTTTTTTGTTGCATACACTTTTAAGATAGCTATGTCTTTTATTGGTGGAATGACACTTTTATCCTTACATAATGTCCCTCTTGGTCTCTGGTAGTTTTGTTTGCTCTGAAGTCTACTTTATTTGGTATTAATATAATTGGGGGAAGTGAGGGTGTCTGTAGAAGTAGAAGTTTAGGTTCCCCAGGCAGCTGCTATTGACACCCAAGGTGGAGAGCTCCTTGTTGCTGATGGGTGGGGATATGAGTTCTACTTCCCACATGGTCTCCACTGACACCACAATGGGATGGCCTCATTGCTAGGCTGACTCCCTACTTGGTCTTTTCTGACAGCACCCCAAGGAGGGGTACCTTTTAACTGCCAGGAGGGGGTGGAAGTCCAGGCTCCCGACATGGTCTCCACTGACACCTGAGGGGCGATGGGGCATGTTACAGACCAGTGTGGGTGAATGTCCTGGCTCTCTACCTCGCTCTGAAACCACTCTGGAGAGAGTATAGGGTCACCTCCTTACAACCCACTGAGGGTGGATCTCCACTTGGTCTTTGCTGGTTTCAGTTGGGATAGAACTGCAGTGTTTTTTATGTGGTGTTTGGCTTAGGTCAAGCTGTTGTTAATGTAAAAGTTTTCTGTCTACTCAGGCTGTCCCTTTCCCTCCTTGCTGTAAAGAGCATGGTTTTCTTGAGGCTTTTTTTTTTTTTTTTTTGGTCAGTGTCTGTTGGTGTTTCAGAGTTGCCAGGTTCTCAACTCCAAGTCCCAAATACATAAGGCAAAAAAAAAAAAGAAAAAAACAAGAGAATTTACCACTGTGTTGTTCTTTGGGATCTGAATTCCCTAGCTGGTCTGCTTTCTGCTCTTTGCTTTTCAGAATCATCTCATGTTCATTTTATATATAATGTCCAGAGGTTTTAGTTGTACTTACTAGGAGAAGTAGAGAAAAACACATCTACTCCATCATGCAGAAGTGGAAGTTCCAGAATGCTTCTTTTTAAGAATATCTAATTTATCAGTTCATGTTTACTTAAAAATGGAATAAATGTGAATATTGAAATTATAAGAATCTGCATATTCTAACTTTAACCCATCAGTATCTATAACAACAACTTTAAGTACTTTCAGTAAAATACAACATTTTATTTCAAATTATAAATGATCACTTACTCAGAAAAAAATTACTGATTTTTTTTTTTTTTACTAAATGTGCCATTTTATTTTGGATGCAGTTGTTGCCTTTGGAGTAACAGACATTGAACATGAAAATTCCTCTTCTGTTTTAAGTACACTATGATTTTACTGTCCCTCTATGGTGAAGAATACTTGTATCTGTAACTAAGGAGGAAGGGAAAGCAATATAAAAGATGTTAAACATTTCCTTATTCTCCCTTGAAAAGACTAAAGAGCAATTTAAAAGATCATGAATTAGCACATTCTAATCAGATTTGCTCCTGGTTAAACTGGCCACATTGTGTAGAGCAAAATATCTGTAGAAGCTATAGTTTATAATGCTTATGTTCCTGAAAATGTTATCCTGATAAAAAGGCTAAATCTGCACAAAAGAAAACAAAAAATGTGTTTATTCAAGTAAAAATGGGCAAGGAACGATTTGCAGTGTTCATGTTTGATAACTGAAGTCAGATTTCTCCGAATCAAATTTATGGTTCTGAAACTTGGTCACAGCCTACCCAGTGGTTTCTAGGATTGAAGTAAAAGAAAATAACTATTGAAATGAAAAAGCAAACAAAAAACCAGCCAGAAAACAGAATAAAACAAAACATGAATGGTGTTTGGCTGTTTCTGGATAATGAATGGGAAGAAGTCAGTTTTATTACCATGCTTACCCAGATGGCTCATAGGCCTACATTTCATTCTCCCTTCTGGATAAGTGAGCTTTTTATGGTTCACTTTTAGTGTAGCTACTTTTAACTCAGGATCTGCGTTGGGTTCGCCTGATGATTAAATTATGATGTGTATTCCAGTCCAAAAAATTAGTTTTTGTTTATTCTCTTAGTAGTTCTGCTTCTCTGGTTGAAACTTGACTAGTAGGATGATCTTCACGATTATCTTGTACCTTCAAATATGTTGGTTCACAAACCCATTAAAGTTGGTGCAAGAACCACAATGGGTTCCTGTGAAACATGGGGATTACCAATCACCACCTCCAGAAATAAATTCTGATCCACTGAATCTGATGTGTAGCTTAAGGATATACATTTTATATGAGCATCAGATTCAGGTGTTCCAGGCACCATGCTTTGAACAAACACCTATGAATATTTTGTCATATTTAAAATAAAATATATTTCATTGAAATGAAGGTTTTCCAAAGTAGAATTTCCTCTCCATTACTGGTGGTGTTAAAGCCAAATCTAGGTGAACTCATTCAATAAGAATTCATTATTCACTTGTATGTTAGAAGCACATTCCAGGGTGGGAATGGGTATCAAGGTATCTGGTGAAAGATATCTAGTAGAAAGTTTGACTCAGATAAAAGACTATTCCAGATAGCTGGATATCAAAACTTTAATTTTCAACTGTATAGGAGGAGATAATGAAAGATTATATCATGGTTTAAAAAAGAGCTAATAGGAATATTTTTCTGTTTGTATTTTATTCATTTCCATAGCTGGATTCTGATGGCACCATTACTATAGAGGAGCAGATTGTCCTTGTGCTGAAAGCTAAAGTACAGTGTGAACTCAACATCACAGCCCAACTTCAGGAAGGAGGTAAAGGTGCTAAAAATTATGTCTTCTTGTGTCCCTACCCTACCCCAGTCCTCAAAAAGACTCAAATTCCCCTTTTAAGTAGTAGTAGGGTGTTCCTCATCAGTCATTACATGTTTTCATATGGAGGATCATGTAGCAGAATCATGCTCTTTTCATTTCTTTCTTTTTCTTTCTTTTTTTTTTTTTCAGATTCTACTTATTTATTTGACAGAGAGAAAGACACAGCAAGAGAGGGAACACAAGCAGGGAGAGTGGGAGAGGGAGAAGCAGGCTTCCTACTGAGCAGGGAGCCCGAGGTGGGGCTCGATCCTGGGACTCCAGTGTCATGACCTGAGCCGAAGGCAGACGCTTAACCACTGAGCCACCCAGGCGCCCCACTCTTTTCATTTCTTTAACCACAAGCTCTTCCCTCCCTATGGACAGAATGACTTGCCTGATTTTTGAGTTTCAGAATAGCAGCTGGGCATGTGCACATTGGTCTCTCAGGCCTCTCTTTGGGATCTGTTTGCCTGCAGAGAGCATGCATCCTGGTTTGCCCTTAACCAGGTAGTAAGCTTGGAGCGGCAGGCTCTGTTCTTGTGCATATTGCTTGCAGTTTTAGGTAGTATATGTAAATATTAGAGGAACAGACAAGCAGGCCTTTTTATATGTACCTAGGCCCTGTTCTCAAAACAAATTTTCTTCTTAATAAAATGATTATTTAATTTCCATATGCCTGGCTCTCTATGTAATTTCTTGACTGGTTCCACATTCAAGTGGGGACCTAGATATGTAATTTCTCAATTAGTTCCAAATTCAAGTGGGGAACTAGAAAAACAAAATGACAACACTACAGATGAGCTTTTGGTAGCCTTGGTCCACTTGGGTGGCTTACTGTTGTAACTGCTCAGGAACTTGTGGCTTGTGCTACTTGGGGCCTGGTGATCACTCTCAGTTCTTATTGGAGCCATTGAGAAAAGTTATTTATTGGAATCTTTGGAGTAGTAGGTAAATTACAATGTTTTATATGGGGAAAATGCTTCGCCCTTATAGTTGAGTATAATTAATGAATTTTTTAAAAAGGGAGGTGCTAGTTACTGAGCTTCCCTAAATTCCCAACAGTCTCAATGCAGCAGATGTCTTTAAAGCCATGCCCTACTAAAATTAACAACTCGGGAAACAACAGATGTTGGCGAGGATGTGGAGAAAGGGGAACCCTCTTATGCTATTGGTGGGAGTGCAAACTGGTGCAGCTACTCTGGAAAACAGTACGGAGGTTCCTCAAAAAGTTAAAAATAGAACTACCTTACAACCCAGCAATTGCACTACCAGGTATTTATCCAAAGGATACAAACATAGTGATTTGAAGGGGCACATGCACCCCAATGTTTATAGCAGCAATGTCCACAATAGCCAAACTATGGAAAGAGCCCAGATGTCCATCAACAGATGAATGGATAAAGAAGATGTGGCATATACACACACACACACACACACACACACACACACACACACACACAATGGAATATTACTTAGCCATCAAAAAGAATGAAATCTTGCCATTTGCAATGACGTGGATAGAACTAGAGAGTATTATGCTAAGCGAAATAAGTCAGACAAAGACACAATATGATCTCACTCATATGTGGAATTTAAGAAACAAAACAGATGAACACAGGGGAAGGGAAGGAAAAATAAAATAAGATGAAATCAGAGAGGGAGGCAAACCATCAGAGACTCCTAAGCCTAGGAAACAAACTGAGGGTTGCTGGAGGGGAGGTCAGTGGGGGATGGTGTAATTGGGTGATGGGCATTAAGGAGGGCACTTGATGTAATGAGCACTGGGTGTTATAGGCAACTGATGAATCACTAAATTCTACCCCTGAAACTAATAATACAGTATATGTTAACTAAATTGAATTTAAATAAAGGATTAAAAAAAATAAAGCTATGCCTTAGGGGCGCTTGGGTGGCTCAGTTGATTAAGCTTCAGACTTTTGATTTCAGCTCAGTTTGTGATCTCAGGATTGTGAGACTGAGCTCCGCACTGGGTGTGGACCCTGCTTAAAATCCTCTCTCCCTCTCCCTTTGCCCCTCCCCCCCTCCTCTTCCTCCCTAGGGAAAAAAAAAAGCTATGCCCTATAATGAAATGTCTAGTTTGATCTACTTCATTCTAATTGCCAAATACTTAAGAACATTTGAAGTTTATAACTTCTCCCTCTTGAATAATATAAGCAATTTGAAGTACTTTAATTACTTCCAAATTATGTTATTGTCATATAATTTTATATTAATAAAGTCATATAGTTTTATCTTAATTATATATTATAATTTTTCCTCAAGATGAAATAATGTCTTTTTGTAAGATTTCTTTACGTTAGAACTTGATTGCAGTGAACACTCTCAGTGTTTGTCTGAAAAGGTGTTTATTTCAGTCTCAATCCTCAAAGATACTTTTTCTGGACATATGATCCTTGGTTGAGAATTATTTACTTTTCACACCTGAATATTATTTCACTTTTACTCTAGCTTCCATTGTTATTGGTGACAAATCAGTACTCAGTCTTTGTTGATGATTAGTTTTTTCTCTCTGGCTCCTTTTAAGAGCTTTTCTTTGCATTTGATGTTCTGCAGTTTTATCTGTATCTAGGTATGGATTCATTTGATTTCTGAGGTCTGAGGATCTGTGTCTTTAGTCATTGGTAGGAATGGTTTGCTATTTTGTCTGAAACTTTGCTCTCTCCCCTTCTCCTAGTCTTTCCATCTGGAACACTAATTAGACAAATGTAGGACTTTCTCACCCTACTCTTTGTGTCTTCAAAAAAGAAATCAGATGAAATAAATATGGCAAAATATGAGCAAGTGTCAATTCCAGGTGCTGTATAGATATGATATTCTCTTTTATTTATGAAAAAATTGTAATAAAAAGAAAATACAAATTTTCTTCATGTCTATGAAAGTGAAAGAAGTATAAATGCAAATACCTAGCTACAAAATGATTCAAGTAGTTAAAAACAAAGCCCAAAATATTATTGATCCTGGTTTGACTTCACAAATGTATGGTTACACTGTATTATGGGTAACTATAGAACTGGAAAGAGACAAAGTTTGAGTTTCCAAATTTTAGACTGTTCTGTGTGAAGATCATGGTGTGACAAGCGTCACTAATAAGTAGTTTGTCCTGGCACACGCAAAAGATGACAAGAAATGTAATTAATGGTGTTAATTTATAAAGAGAGATTGGTGAATCATCATGCAATTAATCAGTTTCTTGGTAACTGATGAAAGTATTTACTCACATAGGATGTGAAATGATGATCAAAGAGTAGATGTTAATTAAGATCTCTGCATTAGCTGTGTGAGGGCATGGCTTCCCCAGTCCTTTCAACGTTTGTGAATATTTACTATTCTCTTTGTCAAAGAGCCACCAGAGAGATGAACACAATCTACAGAAACATTATTTTTGAGGAATGTTGGTTTTCTGAATTTTGGGGAGTGTGTGTGTATGTGTGTGGGGTGGTATCTTGTAAGGAACTAGAAAACTATCCCCTTTAGAGCATGAGGAAAATATCAGCAGATTTGTCTCCATGGTAGTTTAAAAACTACATAATTATAGAATAAATGGTCATTGGGTTTTAAACTTGTATGAAGACCTTATTCCATCATGTAACTAACTCTTGCCAGAAAATATCATGATATTGCAGCATACATTTTATCTATTTTCTATCTATCATCTATCTATCCATCTATCATCTATCTATCTATCTATTATCTATCTATCTATCTATTTATCACCTATCTATTTTAGAGAGAGAGATAAGACAAGCGGTGGGGAGGGACAGAAGAAGAAGGAGAGAGAGAATCCCAAGCAGGCTCCACGCTCAGTGCGGAGCCCTACACAGGTCTTAATCTCACAACCCTGAGGTCATGACCTGAGTCAAAATCAAGAGTTGGGTGCTTAACTGACTGAGCCACCCAGGCACCCCTGCAGCAAACATTGTAGAGGGACAACTAGTTGTCAGAACACAAGAATGTGTGTCCAGGTCAAATTATTGTAGATGCACAATAGATATCTGGTAAAGGATTGGACAGTACAAATAAATGAGGATGCATGACTTGTTAAAGACAAAGTGAATGGATGTGAAGCCACATGGAATGGTAGTAAGATACAGAAGAGTGTCTAGGGTAAAGTTGGTGAAAGAGGTTGGTTCATTGTTTGAACAAGAAACAAAAACAAAACATAGGTAATGGTGGAAAGAAGCCGATGAAGCTGTGCACCAGAAGCAAGAGTCAGTGTGATGGGTTCCTGGATTGCTTGTGATATGTAAAGTATAGGCTTTTATTATGCAAGCAAAGTGAGGCTGTTTCCAAGAAAACGTTCTCTTCTATAAGAACAGTGTGGGCGAGGGAAGACATTTTCTTTTTCTTATTGCTTCAGCAATACCCAAAGCAAATCGAGTTGTTTGTTTCCATGTGATATGGAGGACACTAAGAAGTTAATTTCAGGTTTATGCTGAATTCTTTTCTGTACAGATCAGGGTTTGCATGACTATTCAAAATTGAACAAACAACTTGACATCATGAACATCGGTTAGAGCAAAATTCCTCAGCTACAGTAGTGTAATTGGTAACAAAAAAATTGAGAGAGCTATAATGGATAAGACTTGTGGTAGCAGAATAAAGGTCCCCAAAGATGTCCATACCCTAACTACCTGGTGTTATGCCTGTGTATGCTATGTTACATGGCACAGGGACACTGCAGGTGGGATTGCAGGCCTTAAAATGGGGAAATTATCCTGGATTATCTGGATGGGCCCAATGTGGTGTATGGGGTGGATGAATCAGGAGGGGAAAAGGAGAGTGGAAGAGAGACTTGACGAGAAGGGTCACCTTGACTTGTTGACTTTGAAGATGGAGGAAAGGAGTCATAAACCAAGGGATATAAGTGGTTTCTAGAAGTTGATCGCCAGCAAGGAAATGGGGAACTCAGTCCTAGCTGAACTCACTGGACTTCCGACTTAAAGAAATAGTGAGATAATAAGTTTGGGTTATTTGAAGCCATTACATTTGTGGTAATTTGTTATGGTAGCAATAGAAAAAATGAATACAACGCTCATTAAAAGTAATCTCATTTTGAAACGAAGGATATACTCTTTCCTGGAAGTTCAATACACAACTAATGGAGAGCAGTCCTAAAGAACACACAGTGTTGACTCTGAATATTTGTTAAGCCCCTGCCAAGTGCTGGGTGCCTAAGGCATGGAACAAAACAGACAAAATTCCCTATCTTTAGGGTTCCTGAGGTTTAAGGAACCAATAATAAAATAACACTTACTATTGGAAGGTGATGAGAGCTCAAGTAAAAAGTATAGAAGGCAAGGGTGTAAGGAGTGTTTGGAAGGTAACTATAAATGGGGAGAGTTTGTTCAGAAGCGACCTGTGAGTAAAAGTCTGTAGGGCGGAGGGGAATAAACCTTAAGCCATCTGGTGAACGCACTGAATTGAAGGGAGAGCTAGGAGGACCTTCGCAGAACTGAGGTCAGGGAGATAAGTATGGGGGAAAGCGGATCTTGCAGGGCTTTCAGACTTTGTAAAGACTTGGCTTTTGCTGGGAGTGAGATGGGAAGCCTTTGGAAGATTTTGGCTTACTGTGTGAATGAATGAAAGGAGAGCAAGAATGGAACCTGAAAGATCAGATTTACCTTTCAATGAAAACTTTCTTCAATTTATGTGTAAAAAACTAAAATGGCATTTTGAATTCACTAGCTAATTTAAGAAATTTCCCCTTTTAAATTCCCTTAACGTTGAGAGAAGCGTATCAAAATATTTAAGAGTGGTGGTTACACTGTCTGCAATTAACTTTAAAATACCACCGCAAAAAATAAATTAGATGAAATAAATATGGTAAAATATTAGCACATATCAATTCTGGTGATATGTGTGTGTGTATATATGTATACAATGTGCTTTATTTATGAAAAAATTTTTGTAATAAAATTTTTCCTCATGTCTATGAAAGAAAATGAAATGTAAATGCAAATACCTAGTTATAAAATGATTCAAGTAGTTAAAAACAAAACCCAAAATATTATTCATCCCAGTTCAACTTCACAAATGTATGGTTACAGTGTTATGGTTACATTATATTATCAGTTCAGATATAGAACCGAAAAGAGACAAAGTTGGAGTTTCCAAATTCTGGATTATTCTGTGTAAATATCATGGTTTGACAAGCTTGGACCATGGGTGTGGCAATGGAGGTTTTGAGAAGTGCTAGGGTTCTGGGTGCATTTTGCCCATTCAATTCCCCCCCCACTCCAAATCTTTATACTTGATTCTTGAGGAGAGTAGAGCTTGTGAGAATTTTGTTTGAGATGAGTGTTAGACTCAAATTACTAGAATTATTGGTAAAAAGAAAATAAAGAATTATTGGTAAAAAGCAAACTCAAATCTTGGAGCTTACCTGGGAAGCTCAATCTGTTTCAGGTATCATATTTCTTAACAGCAATTTTTTAAAATCTAGGGTAAAAAAATGTAGCTACAACTGTGATAGAATTTTACTACGGTTGTTCACAATGAATTCCAATGTTTCTTATATATTAATTGCTATAACTCATATATAGTGGAATCACTAAAATATTTTTAATTTATGCAAATCAAACGTTCCTCTTAATGGACCAGGTGAGGTGGATGAATCTTAGGACATTTGCATCGTATCTACCCCATTCTCGTTTCTACAACTACCAATTTGTTTTACATTTTGCTACAGGTGGAGACCTGAAATTTTGTATTTTGAGCACATTTCCTGTCTGGTTCCAATTGCATTTTTATTTGCTTTTTAATTTTTTTCTTTATTAGAGGGAAATTGTTTCCCAGAATGGGATGGACTCATTTGTTGGCCCAGAGGAACAGTGGGGAAAATATTGGCGGTCCCATGCCCTCCTTATATTTATGACTTCAATCATAAAGGTATTGAATTTTTTGGAAATGATTAATTTGGAATAGAAATGGACTTTTTTTCCCCTAATGAAAACCAAGAGAATTGAGCAATTTCAATGTTTTTCTTCATGTCTTTATAGGAGTTGCCTTCCGACACTGTAACCCCAATGGAACATGGGATTTTATGTACAGTTTAAATAAAACATGGGCTAATTATTCAGACTGTCTTCGCTTTATGCAGCCAGATATCAGCATAGGAAAGGTAATGATAATTTTGGTATTTGTGAACCCCACAGGGAAACTGGGATAATATTTTTATATATTTCTTGATTGCCAACTATTATATATAAAAACCCCTTTATTCTAGGACACAAATGTCCTAGAAGATAAAAGCAAGATTGGAATGTTTTTAGCTATCCAGTTAAGGAATGGTGTAGGACCTGAAACATTCTGGTGTTTTCTTTAGGTTAGAGTTATCTGGCTAAGATATATGCACATATACTTATAAGTATGTATCTGTGTGTATTATGTTATGGTACATTATGTTTACATTATATTATGCTATATTAAATATTTTGCTTAAAAATCGAAATAGGTAGTCAGCAACATGATTTATGATTTCTTTTTTGTTACCTATGAATGGCTACATCTCATTTCACTCTGTATTCCTAAAGGAGATTTGTATTTTAAAGAAGTATTTGTTGGGGTGCCTGGGTGGCTCAGTTGTTAAGCATCTGCCTTCGGCTCAGGTCATGATCCCAGGGTCCTGGGATGAAGCCCCGCATCGGGCTCCCTGCTCCGCGGGAAGCCTGCTTCTCCCTCTCCCACTCCGCCTGCTTGTGTTCCCTCTCTCGCTATGTCTCTATCTGTCAAATAAATAAATAAAATCTTAAAAAAAAAAAAGATGTATTTGTCATTTCATAAGATTGGCCAGTAGGTGATTTCATTAGTAGGTGAAAGATCAGAGTTGTAGAATTAAGCGGAAGCAAGGGGCATCCCATAGGTCTTCCAGATAACACCTTAATTTTACACATGAGTAAACTCAGAACCAGAGATTAGGTGTTAGTCAGAGTGACCCAGCTCACTGATGACAGGATCTAAAGCTGAATCCTGATCTCCAAATTCCTCATCAGTGCTATTTGCAGTATAGCAATCATATGTGAATGTTGGAAACTTCTAGATATTCACTTTTAAGTGATAGGTGGTGCTTTAAGTCATGCTTAAATTCCTGTCACTCAGACCTCATGAGTAAAATGCATGATGATATGTGCATATGATAAGAGTTAATATGATAAATGGATATATAAGTGGCTTTTATGGGGATCCTGAGAACAGTCTATCATACATAAACTCTACCAGCATTAGACATTTTTCTTTATGCTTGATTTTTTTGGAAGGAAGGGGAGTAGGGAGAGCAGTAAGGGAAGCAGTGAGTTGAAGATTTCTTTGATTTTGCACTAATAATCAGGACTTTTTTTTTTAAGATTTATTTATTTATTTTTTGACAGAGAGAAAGAGACAGCAAGAGAGGAAACACAAGCAGGGGGAGTGGGAGAGGGAGAAGCAGGCTTCCCGCAGAATAGGGAGCCTGATGCTGGGCTCGATCCCAGGACCCCGGGATCACGACCTGAGCCGAAGGCAGACACCTAATGACTGAGCCACCCAGGCGCCCCTAATCAGGACTTTATTAAGATTTTAAAAATTTATTTATTTGAGAGAGAGCAGGAGCAGAGGGAGGGGCAGAGGGAGAAGCAGACTGCCTGCTGAGCGGAGAACACCCCCCCCAATGTGGGGCTTGATCCCAGGACCCCAGGAGCATGACCTGAGCCAAAGGCAGATGCTTAATTGACTGAGCCACCCAGGCACCCAGTAATGAAAGTTTTTATAAAAGGAACAAGAAGTAAAAAAACAAAAAAAGTGTGCATTGAGAATAAACATTTTTATTGAGGGGAAATAAGACTAAGATTTTGTAAACATCTATTGTCTTGTTCCTTATATAATTTCCTTATTGTTGGTTTGACAAAATGAGACAGTTACTTTTATTTACTTGTTTTTCAGCTTTCATATTTTATTATTATTTTTAAATTAACATATATTATTTGTTTCATGGGTACAGGTCTGTGATTCATCAGTCTTATATAATACCCAGTGCTCATTACAACACATACCCTTCCCAATGTCCATCACCCAGTTACCCCATCCCCCCACTTCCCCTCCCCTCCAGCAACCCTCAGTTTGTTTCCTAAGATTAAGAGTCTCTTAGGATCTGTCTCCCTCTCTGGTTTCATCTTGTCTCATTTTTTCTTTTCTTTCCATATGATTCTCTGCCTTGTTTCTTAAATTTCACATATCAGTGAGATCATATAATTGTCTTTCTCTGATTGACTTATTGCACTTAGCATAATACCTTCTAGTTCCATCCATATCACTGCAAATGGCAAGATTTCATTCTTTTGATGGCTGAGTAATATTCCATTGTGTATATATGTCACATCTTTATCCATTCATCTGTTGATGGACATCTGGGCTCTTTCCATAGTTTGGCTATTGTGGACATTTCTGCTTTAAACACTGGGGTGCATGTGCCCCTTCAAATCACTATGTTTGTATCCTTTGGATAAATACCTGGCTGTAAAATTGCTGGGTTGTAGGGTAGCTCTATTTTCAAATGTTGAGGGAACCTCCATACTGTTTTCCAGAGTGGCTGCACCAGCTTGCATTCCCACCAACAGTGTAGGACGGTTCCCCTTTCTCTGCATCCTCGCCAACATCTGTTATTTCCTGACTTGTTAATTTTAGCCATTCTGACTGGTGTGAGGTGGTATCTCATTGAGGTTTTGATTTGTATTTCCCTGATGCCAAGTGATGTTGAGCACTTTTTCATGTGTCTGTTGGCCATTTGGATGTCTTCTTTGCAGAAATGTCTGTTCATGTCTTCTGCCCATTTCTTGTTTGGATTATTTGTTCTTTGGGTGTTGAGTTTGATAAGTTCTTTATAGGAGACGGTTACTCTTAGTAAATAGATGGGAACGAACTCTTCTGATAGGCCATAAGGTTATTACATTTGTTAGAGTATTATATTTAAAACAGCAGCATACTGTAGAAATTACCATATAATCCATCTCATGTTTAAAGGTTAAATGAACTTCTGGAAAGCAATTTAGCAATGTGTGTTTAAAAAACTTCAAAGCAGTCATATCCTTTGATCTTATAAAATTATTTCTAAGATTCAAGTATAAGGATTTGGAGTGGTGGGAATTGAGTGGACAAAACATTCCTTGAACCATTGATTTTTATAGTGAATATTCGGAAGAATTTAAGTTTATTCTGAAGAATATAAATTTCCAATGAAGAACCTTCCAGAGAAGGTTAAATAAACTTATATAAATGTTTTTTGTAAAGACTTTGTGGCCTTAGAAAAAAATTCCTTTGTTACACAGTTAACAGAAAAAAAAAATCAGGTAATAAGGTTGTATGTAAATTGGGAATGTAGATGCTCAAAACAATAGAAAATGCTGCATAGAGATAGAATGAAAAGAAATACATGAAATACAGTGTTTCTTTTTGGTTGGTAGGAATTCAGGAGATCCTCCCCCCCTTTTGTGTTTCACACATTATCCAAATATTTTCTCTTTTCTTTTTCTT